TGTTGTATTTCTTCTAGTTGCTTTTTTCTTTAGATAGTATGAGAAAAATGTTGTTTTCTATCTCATATATTCATTATGTTTCTTACTTTATATAGTAATGTACTAGAAATTGTTCGCTCTACATATTTTGTATTAGTTTAGCGAGACTAGAAAACATACTTAAGTTCCACATCTCAGCTTCATTGAGGCTTCGCTAATAAGTTTTTTTTCTTAGAAAGTAATATTGATAATATACACTATAATAAAGGTTCAAACAAAATGTCAAGTTCAAATGCTCAAGCCGGTTGGTATGAACTACCTTCACAAACACAAATATTCATTGGACAAAAACAAAACTTTGAGAATAACAAGAAGGAACTAAAGAAGAAGAAAAAGCCCCGTGGTAATCGGCGACTCCAACGCTATAGCAGGGAATGTCGAGCACGAGGAATGAACGATCAAATCGTAAAAATATTATTGACAATGCATCAAATCAATAATTTCATTCATCAAACTCATCGGGAAACAGACCACGATAAAAAGATGGATGATTTTTTAGTCAGGAATGCTAATAAGGATATTTAAGTGTGCATGTTCTATGGAAACCAAGTACGATCAAATGATGAACAAAAAATAAATACGATGTTTTTCTTTTGTATAGAACCAAGGCAATAATTCATCACCTTCAAGAACACATCAAAAAATGAAAAACCATTACGATTTACCTACAGATGATTGGAAACTGACATGCAAACTCTTACCAAATTATAAGATCTTGTCTTCCCATGAATTCAAACGTTTACTCTGCAAAACTATCCCAACGGATCATTATCAGATTCAACAATGGTTAGCAAATACGGAAATGTTACAATTCTCACAACAACTTGCTACACTCATGTGTACTTCCTTTCAATTGAAAATCGAAGAGGACTATTGGTACTACATTGGCAATTTAAACATGCCTGTTGTAACTTGGTTATCAGAAGTATCGAAAGATGTAACAGAAAAAAATTCCATTAATGGGGATCATTCGAAAACAAAACTAAATATTCAATATCAACAAAATCTCATTCGAAATAAATTACAACGACTAGAAATTAATTTATACAATTATTTACAACGATATTCATCATACTTAAAAATGAAAGATGATAAAATATCTTTTTAACAATGGATGAATATCATATGCAATGCTCTTTTTGTTCTCATGCAAAATGATTTGCATCATTTCAATACAAATTTCGAACAGAAGAAAATCTTATTTACGTATGATATCAATGATGCAAATCTTGTCAAATCATTCTATGATTTAAATCCAATAGAAGAATAGGTGAATATTTTATTTAGCCTAACTTTCTCTTATTCTTATTCTTCTCATAGGTTTATTCTACTCAACAAATTTGGCGATCAAAATTAAGAGCATGTGAGAAGGTCATTAGTCAACAAAAGAAACATTGGTCAATGAGTGATCAAGTTATGGTTAAAGGAATAATTCCAGGTAATCGTTCAATAACAAATATGAAACAAAATGAATTCGACAGTGATGGCAATGATAAAAAGAATCAATTATTATATATGGAATGCTTTTCTCCTTCAATGCGTGCTATTATTCAAGCTCGTCTCGATAATATCGAACAACGTGCTCAACAAATTATAAAATTTATTCATGCTTCGTCTGAAAAATAACGATCTATTGCTTATTATAGATTTTACTGACTCTAGCATTCTCGATTGTTCATTTTAAGCAATATTGTAGAATGTAGTTCTATTGTAATACTTCATTCATTTCTTTTTTTGTGTCATGTTTCATAGTTTGTTTTTCGAATAGTAAACGAATTTATCTTCTGATGTTTTGCTTTTCTTTTTTCTTCTAGATATCATTTTCAGAATTCTATCTTTGTTTTGTTGTCTCCCATTCAATTTCAAATGGCAATGACAACATCAAATCTCAATTCTACTAAAACTATTACCCGTCGTAGTACAGTTTCTGACGCGAAAGTAACACAGAAGAATAACAAAGATCTTTCTATTCTATGAACAATGATTTTCTTCTTAGATAGTCCATGAACAAGTCCTATCACAAGAGCTTGGCCAATTTTCGCCTTTTAAAATCAATTCAACAAAAAAACAAATAACAAGATTTCCTATAGAAATCATTCTTTCGAAAACAATTGGTAGTGAATGGCAATCTATATCCGACTATCTTTGTTCAAAAAATCCATCTTTTGAAAAGAAACTTCGAACCATTTTACCATCAACGATGAATTTAGATGAAATAAGAGATATTGCTATTCTCATGCATAAAATTATGTCGATTGACATAGTACAATCTCTCTGGATAGTCTATCGAAAATATGGCATGGAAGAAATACAATCCAAGCGACCAATCAATGTATCTGATACAAAATTTTGGCCAAAAGAAGTTTCATCACTCATGAAAAAGTTAAAAAATGATAATATTATTGATGAAAGTAGTTGTTTAATTTTTGCCAATCAATGTTTACAAGAATTGTACAATAAAAAGGAACATTATCGACACGAATTAAATGTCAAGACCACTCGTTTATCTGGTTATAACTTTAGCATGGAATATACTATTGAAAAATTTGTACAACAAGGACTTCAATCTTTACATATTGAAATCAATGAACATATTGCCACGGTTCAATATCATTATACCAATATAATATTTCAACAAACTTATTTTGCTCAAAATTCTAATACAAATCAAGTAAACTTCTTTTATATCGAGTTTATTTTATCTTACTATTTTAGATACAATCTTCGCTCTTAATCATATAAAAAAAGAAATTAGATAGGAAAAACAAAAACTTTTTTTCATTCACATCCTTCTCTCTTTCAGATAGAATCTTGACGAAAAACAAAAATATAATCGGTATAAAATATGAAAGAATAGCAAAAATTCAAAATATTTTCTATTGCATATGGATTTCAATACAATTGATTTAACTCGAGCGGAACAAGCTACTTCTTTGTTAATTAATAATAAACAACAAGAATATCAATCAAGAACATTATTAGATAAAAATAATGGACGATATGCTTATTTACCTATATTTCCAACAGAATATGTTGGTCCAAATGAGTGTTTACTTTTGGCTAATGTATCAGGTTCGTATGTTCGATATAAATTGATTATAAATCATTTCATTGCATTGTCTTTTAGTTAGTCGTCTTGCACCTCATCAAATTAATCGACGTCAATATGGAGCTTATACTTTCGATGCACTGATGCTGATGAATAAGTACAATTATTCCGATGAATTTAGTTTATCTGAACAAGATGCTAATGAATTAGCTTCACGATTACAAGTAGGCAAATCAATAATTACTTTCAATGCACAACGACTTCGTAGCATCTGTCATACGCTTCTTGCATTCCATGAATCATTTCGACGACATGTTCTATGTAAGAGTGATGTTGCTCTAAAAGAACCAACACCCAATTCGAAACAAATGGCTATGGCATTGG